CCACCTTTAGATGCATTACATCCTGTGGAAACAATTGCAGCAATTTAGTCTGTTCGTATACCGTATGATACATACCGTGTAGGTACATGATTATGGCAGTACAATGACTGGCAACACAGTTCTATTTACAAATAAATGGTGAGCAGCAGCAATTGCCATCTCAATTGCCATGAGGTGGCGCTCTCCGATTGGTTGCAGTGGCTTCCAGTTCTCGCACACGTGCCTGTACACATGAAGAGAGATATACAAAGACAATGCAGCCATATCGGCAAGCAATGCAACCTCGCTAACAGGTAAAGCAAAGACGATATGCACAGGCGCATGCAAGGGAATAGGCATAGAGACCTGCTGCTGCGCCTTGCTGCATTGCAGCTTCATGAGAATGACTGCTATTGCGAGTGGATTGCCTGGAAATACAGGTACTATACTCACCTCCATGCTTCTTATATACTGTGCTGCAGTGCTGATGATGGAGCCAAAGTCTTGCTGCCCCCCCAGGATGCCAACTGGCAGGATGGCCCTGAGTGACTGAAGTGACTCACTGCAGCACACCCATTAGGAATGCAAACCAGAAGAGCCAAAACACCTTAGCCATAAGAGACAGAACATACTCTGAACTGGATTCATAGATGAGTCGCCTAAAGAATCACAGGTGAGAGCTTCAAGCCCCACAGCAGGTGAAGTGAACGAGTGAAAACTAAAAAAAGCATGGGCAAAATAATGAGCATGGGATCACAGTACAGGGAGATACGAAGTGGGCAGAAGAGGGGATGCTGGAAAGGGTCTCTAAGAAGGAAAGGGAGCGAGATGAGTGGCAAGGGGGGCTACACCCCTGGTTTAGCTGAGGCTAGCCAAACATATGCATACCCTTGGGAAATAAGTACCCGTGCCACTTACGCCATTTGTCTTCTCCTCTCTCTGTCCCTTGCAGCGCGGGGGTGCAGCGACCTCCTGCCTGAGCTCCCCGCAGCGCCCACATCGCCCCCGTCGCTCCCCGACTTGGATGTTGTGGTTTGGGGTGTCTCACGCAGCAGCCTCCGCCCCACATTCCCCAGGGCCCCTCGGTTGTCCCCACCGCTCCCCGACTTGGACGCCGTGGCCTGAGGCTTCTCATGCAGCAACCTCCGCCCCACGTTTCCCAAGGCCCCGCGGTCGCTCCTGTCGCTCCCTGATTTAGATGCCGTGGTTCGAGACGTCTCACGCTGCAACCTCCTAGCGGCATTCCCCCCTGCGGTTGTGTCTCCTCCTGGGAGTCCTGTGCTGGTGGCAGCAACAGGCATGCATGCAGCAGCACCATCCGTACTTGTAGCAGCGACATGCGTGCTTGTAGCGGCAACACCCATGCTTGTCGCAGCACCACCCATGCTTGTAGCAGCAACACATGTGCTTGCACCGGCAGCATCATAGCTCTCGGCTGGAGCAGAAAAAGGGAGTCTTACTGCACCAAAAGTAGCACCAGCAGCAGCAGCAGCTGCGCCAGCGACACTTGTAACCGGACCAATGGCATCGCCATTGCCATCTCCGGCAAAAAAGGGACCAGGAACAAACGCGGTAGCCCTCGCAGCAGGAGGCGACATAGCATCGAGTCGACGAGCAGCGGGGGTGACGGAACCCTGACGATAAGAATCAGAGAAAAGGGTGCTGGCTTTGTTGTCGGGCGGAGGCAAGGGAGTTTCGTCCATCAATGCGGCCAGCAGCACCTGCTGTATTTGTGCTTGGCTTAGCAGTTCATCTGTTCCTCCCCCCGCCCCTTGCAGCTTCACTGTATCTGGCTGCAAAAAATCAAACGGTCTTGTAGTCACACTGTACAAATTATCCTCGTTACTGGGTAGTTGCACCGGAAGTGCAGGCACAAGCTGGTTCGGCCGTGGGTTTGGCTGCTCCATCTGCTGGCTTGGCTGTGGATTCGGATTCGTCCGCGGTATTGGCTGCCTCATCAAGCGCCCTGGCTGCTGTACATTCGTGTCATTTGAAAAATTGGACCAACGAACCCAATCTGGACCTTTTCCACCGTCCGATGGACTCCATTTCGTCCTTTTGCTCATTTCGTCCCTGATCTCATCTTCCCGGTTGTGCTTCGCCAGCGTTCGCACAAGCAGAGGGCGGGTTTCTTGCAGCTGAGCCTTTGGGTACGAGTTACCAAGCTGGTAGTAGCGTTTCGCCATATCGCCAAGGAGTCCTTGTTCCTGCTGCTCGTGCTTGTGCTTGTGCTGCTTCTCGTGCTGCCACTGCTGGAGCTGAAGCATTTGATGTTGCGACGGTAGCTGCTTGGTTACCAGTTCTTGATTGCCTTCGCCGAAACAGCCCGCGAATTCCGCCGCGCTTCGCAGGTTCGTAAAACCCGCTTTTCCGACGCCGCCACGTTGGTCTGGAGCTGAATGAAGGATTTCGTTCAGCTCGTCCGTCACCGTCTTCAGTTCGTCCGTCAATGACGACCTTATTGTTCCTCGGCGTCCAACTCCGGCGGCGCTAGACGAGCCGCTTTCATCGCCGCAAACCGCGGCATAGCATTTATCCTTCGCCGGACTGCCAGTGGAAGCTGGATCTTCGCAACCTCGCGCTCCTAAACCTATCGAGCCCCATCTGGGACGCATTTCCTGTCTTTCTCGGGAACCCGTGTTCGACGGCCTCGGGGGTGATTGCTGTGAACCGCGAAATCCTCCGCTAATTCCGTCTAAGATATTCGCAGCCGTGGCGAAACGACCTGACGCACTTATTGAATTTTCTGCAGCAGCGAGTTCCTCTTTGGCCTGAGAATCACTATCGGAACCCATTGTGCTGGCAGCTGCTTCGACAAGAACATGCGGCAACAGCGGGGGGAAAGATAGATGCTTGGTGCTACTAGTAGTGGAATTTGTTTCAGCGGCCATGAGCAAGAACCTTGACCTCTATTGCGAGCTCAAAGTGATACTTGAACAGCAGAGAAACTCATCTCTCCTCTCACGCCGCTTCCTCGTTTTGTAAAGCTGTCATCGTGACGTGTTGAGGTCCTCGACGCGCCGCAATTTTGCTTTTCTAATCAATGTTGAAGCTGCCACGAAAATGGTGACGATGCAGCCAAATCCAGAGACCAGATTGCGATGTAAATTGAAGCTCACGACCAGCAGCAATGTGGTGCGGGCTGAACGCTTATCGGACATTGAAATTTGAAATGCGCTAGTTTCTGGCGAATAGCATGACGCCGTCCGCCCCCATGCCATGTAGAGTCGGTTCGCGACGCGACCGTTGAGTGTGCTTCGACGATGATGCATTTCTGGCAGCAACCACCGCCTTCTGATTTGTGAGCCCCCTAAAGGTAACAGAGAGTGACTGTACCCTCGCCTTTCGCGGCTTGTGCACGGAAGGAGCGGCTGAGATGAGAGATTTTCGCGAGGACTACAAGTTCAAACCACCACTCGTCCGCCGCGTCACGCGCGTCCATCGGCGCACGCGAGACGATGTATGGAGAGTCTTGTCGTTAGTTTGTTGCAAGCAAACAAGACCGACAAACACCCGTCGTGCGGATGAACAGAAGTTCTGCTCCTAATTTGTCCTTGCGCGACCCGCTTCCCTTCCGCACGCCCTTGCGACTGCCAAGCTGGCGCCGACAAAAGCGAGCACTCGTCTTTAACGCCTTTCGTCGCGGAGGAAGCAGCTTTGTTTGGCCGCTTTCGTCTCCTAGTAGGGCCCACTACTGTCTTCCTGGGCGGCCGCTTGCCAGCACAGAATCCTCAAGATGCTGCAAGCTGATGTGGTAATCCATCGTCGTGGCAATTTCGGATTGGTCTGGGCAAGAGCTACCAACCAGAGTGTCACGACACTCCAGCACAGAAACCCGGTGTCGTTACACCATAGCCTCCTATTTTGTAGGACTATGGTGCTTGCGGTGATGTGGACCCACCCGCTGGTGCTGATTAAGTGGGGGTGAACAGTGCTACAACGGCATGCTAAAACGACTGTGGCCAATAGTCACAGCGGACTTCCGAGAAGGTGTTCACTATGGAAAAGACCAGCAATCGCCAGCAAGTTACCCTACAGCATGGGCGGTGGTGGTGGGCATGACAGTGGCAATGAGCTCTGAGAACCAAGAACCGAGCAGCACCGTGTCGAAAACAAGTACAGAAGAAGTTGGGTGGATCGGGTGGGGGGTGCGCGTGCGGAAGAAATGTGGCTGATGGGAGCAGCATTTTGAGGGTTCAGGCGTAGAATCTTGCCAGGTGCAGGAAGCATGGAGACATCAGCTGCATCCCACGTTGTTCTACGCTCAACAGTTGCAGCTCCTCGTTGTTTTGATCACCTGAGCACCAAGCAACAGTATACGTTTGCAAGCAGGGGTTTCAAAAACCTTAGGAACTTGAAAAACTGGTTACGCGATTACAACCCCAACCCCCTGGTTGACAGGCGAAGTGAGTCCCCAAACACCCCACGTCCGACTCCCCGCACTCCCAGTTCAAAACCTTAGGAATTGCAAAAGGAAACTGAAACTGTGGTAGTGAGAGGATAGCCCACACGCTCCTACTTGGGTAGGTTATTCCGCGTAGACTAGGCAACATTCTAACCGAACAGCTAGATTTAGGGACAGAATCTGTTATTGAACCGCGTAACGCTGTTTGCGCGCATGCGCGAACAAATCGCCACGCCTACGCACTCGCTTAGGCCACGCCACCGTAGACAAGGCCGCCCCACGCCTCCTCTCGCTGCCTCACCGCGAGGCCACTAGCGACAGCGCCTCCCCTCCCCACAGAGTCCCGTTTAGCTTCGACGCGCTAGCATCTGCCATCCCATCCCTTCCTCCACTCCTAGCTCGCCGTTCGCCGTTCGCCGCGCGCGGTGAGCCGCTGCTTCCCGCTCGCCGCTCGCGTGCCCTCCCTTTCACGTTCGCCGTCCGTCGTTCGCCTTTCGCCGGACGACGTCCGGAGTGAGTCTCCCCTCGCCGAACCACGCTGCCTCGTTCTTTTCTGGTTTATTCCCATTCGCGGCTGCGCGAATGCTTGGTTCATCGGACTTGGCTCTACGTCTCCTCACGCGGCCCCGTCGCGACCACCGCCACGCCTTCTCTCCTTCCCCGCCACGCCATCTCCCCTTCCCGCCACGCCAACTCCCCTTCCCGCCACGTCATCTCCCCTTCCCGCCACGCCATCCCCCCTTCCCGCCACGCCATCCCCCCTTCTCGCCTCGTCATCTCTCCTTCCCGCCACGCTATCCCCCCTTCCCGCCACACCATCTCCCCTTCCCGCCACGCCTTCTCCCCTTCCCGCCACGCCTTCTCCCCTTCCGGACACGCCCTCATTACCCCCCCCCCCCTGCACGCCCTCGTTTCCCCCCCTACACGCCCTCATCCTCCCCCCACCACCCTCCCCCCCCCCCCCCCCCCCCCCCCCCCCTCGAACGCCCTCATTTCCCCCCTTGCACGCCCTCATTTCCCCCCCTGCACGCCCTCATTCCCCCCCCTGCACGCCCTCATTTCCCCCCCTGCACGTTCTCATTTCCCCCCTTGCACGCCCTCATTTCCGCCCCTGCACGCCCTCATTTCCCCCCTGCACGCCCTCATTCCCCCCCCTGCACGCCCTCATTCCCCCCTGCACGCCCTCATTTCCCCCCTGCACTCCCTCATTCCCCCCCCTGCACGCCCTCATTCCCCCCTGCACGCCCTCATTCCCCCCCCTGCACGCCCTCATTCCCCCCTGCACGCCCTCATTTCCGCCCCTGCACGCCCATCACCCCACCCCTGCCTTCACATCTCCTCTTCCTTGCCCTTCACTTGCCTTCCCTTCCCTCGGCTCCCCTTCCCTACCAGCCCTTCCGCTTCCAGACCCTGCAGTCAATCACCCGTCCCTTTTTGTCTCGCGTCACTTCCGTTGCTGCTCTTCCAACCCTGCCCCTCACTTACACACAATGTGAGTCCCAACCAGTCCATCCCCTCTCTTTCTGCCCTCCTCTTCTCGTCCATCCGCCCTCTCACACTCGTCACGCCTCCCCACGCACTCTTCCTGCCATTCTCACTCTCGCGCCGTCGCCATCCCTCCCTGCCTTCCCATCACACCTCCCTGCCTTCCCATCACACCTCCCTGCCTTCCCATCACACCTCCCTGCCTTCCCATCACACCTCCCTGCCTTCCCATCACACCTCCCTGCCTTCCCATCACACCTCCCTGCCTTCCCATCACACCTCCCTGCCTTCCCATCACACCTCCCTGCCTTCCCATCACACCTCCCTGCCTTCCCATCACACCTCCCTGCCTTCCCATCACACCTCCCTGCCTTCCCATCACACCTCCCTGCCTTCCCATCACACCTCCCTGCCTTCCCATCACACCTCCCTGCCTTCCCATCACACCTCCCTGCCTTCCCATCACACCTCCCTGCCTTCCCATCACACCTCCCTGCCTTCCCATCACACCTCCCTGCCTTCCCATCACACCTCCCTGCCTTCCCATCACACCTCCCTGCCTTCCCATCACACCTCCCTGCCTTCCCATCACACCTCCCTGCCTTCCCGCCACACGTCCCTGCCTTGCCTCCCATGGGTTTGGGGCTCCATTATTTACCGCTGCGACACCAAGCACGACAACGCCTGGCCCAAGCGAGATTGGCATCGTGAAGGGAGGGGCATTAGGTTGCTTGCAGGAGTGTGTCGTGGCATGAAGATGACACCAAGGGTAGAGGATAGTGCTGTTTAGTATACCTGGAGATTATTTTATGTGCACATACAACTGGAAAAGCTCCTTTTTTTCAACATCATTGCTGTGCTAATTTTCAAACGTAGAGATGGCTTACCGAAAGAAAGACATCTAGAAGACAGATAATGTGATACATATCGGATGCATGTGAACATCATGTGCAATATAAACGTGTTGTAACATTCAACCGAATTCAACACTGAGTGGGAGCACATGCAAGCCTAGACTGAAGGAAACTGGTCCATCTTCTTCCGTGCTGCACGCGAGAACCCTCAGTATGGAAAGGGAAGGCGGTAAACACAGCACTGGAGGTGGAAAGTGGAAACAGTGGGTAGAGGGCAAGAGGGAGGGTAAAGGGAGGAGGGAGCATAAGCAGGGTAAAAAGGGAGGACCGAGAATAAGCAAAGTCGAAGGAGCTGATTGGGGTGTAAGGGGGTGGAGAGGCACAGAGGCAAGCAGATGGGGAAAATGAGGGAAAGGTGGGTGAAAAATACGGAAGCAGGGTGGGGAAAGGAGGGGAAGCAGTGGTGGAAAGGAAGGGATGCAGTGGGGGGAAGGGAGAAAAAGCATGGGGGAAGGAGGGGAAGCACCGAAGGAAAGGAGGGGAAGCAGGAAAGGAGGAGAAGCAGGGGGGGAAAGGACGTAAAGCAGGGGGGGAAAGGAGGGCAAGCAAGGGGGGGAAAGGAGGGGATGCAGGGGGGGAAGGGAGGAGAAGAAGGGGGGGAAAGGAGGGGAAGCAGGGGGGGAAAGGAGGGGAAGCAGGAAAGGAGGGGAAGCAGGGGGGGAAAGGAGGGGAAGCAGGGGGGGAAAGGAGGGGAAGCCGTGGGGGAAAAGGGGAGAAGCGTGGGGGGAAAGGAGGGGAAGCAGGGGGGGAAAGGAGGGGAAGCCGTAGGGGAAAAGGGGGGAAGAAGGGGGGGGGGGGAAGGAGGGGAAAAATGGGGCTAGCATGGGGGGAAACATAGGGCCAGCAGTAGGGGGGTGACATGGGGCTAAGAGGGCGGAAACATGGGGCTAGCATGGGGGGAAGTATGGGGCTAGCAGGGGGGGAAATGGGGCTGGCAGGGGGGAAAAATGGGGCTGGCAGGGGGGAAAAATGGGGCTGGCATAGGGGGAAATATGGGGCGCAGGGGGGGAAATGGGGCTGGAGCGCGCGTGCTTGCAACCGCGTGCTGATTGATGACGCGCGAGCGTCATCTGCGCTCGCTGTGCAGGCGCGCGCGCTATGCAGGCGCGTACCGCTTTGCTGCGCGCGTTTTGCTGGCGCGCGCTGCTATGCTGAGCGCGCATTGCTGACGCGCGCTGCGCTGTCTCGCGCGGAATGCAGGCGTGCGTTCGAGGCTCGAGGAGAGCGCGCAACTGCTGCTGCACAGGCTTCTGCTTATGCGCGGGCTAATCCTGGCTAAGGGCGACGGGCCAGCTGGCTGGCAGAGGAGTGCAAATACCTCCCCACGTGAAATGTGTATTTTCTGAATGCACGAAGCCATTGCGGGGAGCGCGTCGAATGCCCCTCGTAGTGGCGCATAGATAGGTTTCGACGGGCGCTAAGTATTCAATACGGCGGATTGAGGCGAATGCCTCTGTGCCATCGTCCGAGTGCATTGCGTCGAAATATTAGTGCACGTGGGGGAGATGGCGGGCGTTTTTGCTGGTCGCTTTTTAACCGTCGCCTGCTCTGCACATGGCTAATTACTAACCCGCGACTACCTATGTGTGTGGTCGCGCTCCAGGTCTAGCAACCACTAGCCCACTCCTTAGGTACTTCTACCAGTTCTGATAGCTACTAGTCTCTTCGAAGCGTGCCAGCGAGGCAGGTGAGTTCGGTTTGTGACTGACAACCTCCCCACCCAACCCTTGTTCCCTCACAACAGTGCCGCCTCAGTTTTTCGCCAACACCCTCGCCAGTCTGTTTTTTGTTTCGTTGAGGCGAATCCCCCTCAGCACACTGTACAAAACAAATAGTACTTTCAAATGTATACTGCTGCTTTAAAGCGACGGGCAACTTTTGGCAGTGTTGGGTTCAGAAGTTTTTTTTTTGAACCAGGCTTGCCAGCGCGAAAGTGCTGGCTGGCGAAAACCAGGATTTCGTGCGGACACTTTCCATCCGCAGTAACAGTTCGCCAGGGTTCTGGGTTTTGGGTGGCAAATGCGCACCGTCGCTTTAAAACAATTTCCCGTAAGAAGCGCTGAACAATCTCCCCCACTGCAGTTTTTCTACCGAGTGCTGCAATTTTGGAAGTGATTGCTCCTACGTCTTGAACTGGAACAGGTTCTTGCTCTACAACCCGGGATCTGTGACATAGCAGAAATGCATGATTTGATCACGAAATATTGTTTAGGTTCAGGCAAAGCTGCTGGTGGCTCGGCTCGGCTCACCCCTCCACTTCCCATGGGCTCTGGCAGCACTTAGGGCGTGGAAAATCTGAAAACAGAAGGTGCGAACCAAAGGACAGTGCGGAACCTGGACTGGTGACACATTTCTACAGTTTTCGCATGGGTGTTTGCGACAACTTCAGCCACCATGACCGATGGATCCGAACATCCATCCATTTTGATGGATCACACATTTGTTTCATCGCTACAGTCACGCCAAGTTTTTCTCGGACTCGAAGTGGAGCGATTACTTGAATTTTAGCCACGGGGAATATGCGTCAGTGAATGGGTGGGTGGTAACACTTGAAAATGTATAAAGAGATGAGTTTTAGCATCTTTCTCTGTCGACACTTTATGTGTTATCAGAGCCTCCTATAGTAACGCATTGGCATCTTCTCCCAGAATGTAAAATGACGTATGGGTGACCCCGTGCAGTCGCCCCAGACCAAATGCAAGAGACATACAGTATGGAGAGGTACTGTATGGCAAGGGTTGGGCGGCATGAGGCCTAGCTGATAAAAAATGTGCGGACAAGGGTGGAAGCTGTCATCGTCCACGTGTATTTTTGCGTATTTCGAGTAAAAAACTGCCGTATTTGTCGAGCCGCACGACGGTGTCGCATAGGGGCACCAGCTTTTAGCGACTCGAGGCATCCAAGCGTCGAAGTAAGAATATCGTGTGGCCCGGGGAAGCCCAACCCATTTCTTGGATACCACCACACAACTTGTTGATCGCTACAGTCACGCCAAGTCTTCGTTAGAAGTATAGTGGAACCAGCACTTGCATTTCGCAAGCCTCGTCCGAATTCGACACAGAAATGCGACAGCGATTAGATGGGTGGTAACAAATTCATATCTTGTAGGTGTCTGGATCTGCACGTTTTAGGTTTCCGCTGGTCACATCTTGTGAAGGTAGTCCACCGTGCGGCTGAAAGCTGGTTATTATGTCCCATGTTGTGCTGCAAACGGGGAACGTTTTATGATCGAGAGGTGATTCACGACGTGAAAATGTTGGGCATCACGTGTACATGCTGCCTTTTGGCTGGAAGGAAGATAAGGCAGCGGTCGATCGAACAGGGCCCTGCCAGCTGGCCCCCTCCACGTGGCACCCAGCCCTACCCACATTCGCTGGCACACATCAGCACGGAACACCCTTCCATTGGACTTACCTAGTATAATTAATTTGTGAGTTTTGCCACTTGTTAGTATGCACTCCTGCAGTCTGCTCCAAGCGCAATGGCTCCTCCACAGTCCCCCCCGCGCCTCTGCTGCCACCGTCATGCTGCACTGCTGCTCGCGCTTCTGCTGCCGCTGCTAGCTCCGCTGCAGGGAGCGGATGCGGCGACGCGCGTCGTGATTGCGCCGATGCGCGGCGGTTCCAAGGAGCGCCTGGAGGTGTTCAAGATGTCGGAGAACCTCTGGTTCGCCGGAACCGCGCAGCTTCCGCCGGCGTCTGAAGGCAGCGAGAATCGGAGCGAGCGGAAGCTGCAAGAGGTCGCTGCAAGCGCACCCGCCCCCGCAGTGGGTCCGATGGTAGGCTTGGTGTTCAGGTGCAAGTTCAAGTCGTAACGGTATGCTTCACAGGTTATGGGCAGTAAAATTCAGGTGCGTTTTCAGACAATTCTCTAGAATTCCTCTTATGCGTTGCGTTGAGTTTGTGGATACCAGCGCCTCCCGCAAAATGCGGCATTCCCAAGGTCTTATTCCGCTCCTTTCCCCTACTATCAGGAGCTGCGATTGGCGGAGGTGGGGGAATTCTCGGCGCGCATGACGGAGCTGAAACAAGTGGTGAAGCGGAAACCTGCGGTTGGGTTTCCCGGTTTAAACGAGTACAGCGATGTGAACAGCGGTACACCGCCTAAATACAACAATACAGTGGTAAGCTTATTTCTTTAATCGGTGTACATTGTAAAATGCAATTACCAGTTCTTTATCCTTCTGTACATTAATTATGTCGTTTCTTGTTACATTTCAGCTCCGTGTAACCCCTCCTGACGTCGCCCTTTGTGTGGGTAATGGCTTCATTCTTCATAGTGTCAACACTGGTAAGCCTTTCTTCCTTGCACCTGGTTCAATTCTCTTTAGCGCCTCAAAAGCGTCCGTTGCACTTGTTCCCCTGTCATTAACTGCTGCTCCTCCCCTCTTCTCACCCCACTCCTTTTTAGCGATTTCTCCTCCCCCACCAATGCCCTCGAACTCCCCATGACTCCCCTCCTCCCCTCCTCATCCCCCCATTGGCAGCGATGGTTGTGTATGACAAGCAAGGGAAGCAGCTCACTCGCATCATCCCACACAACGAGGCAAGTGCAGCAGAGACCAGTCTCAGCATCGCATCCGAGTCACATCCGCTTGCAAAACGCCTTTTTAATAAATGGCCCAGTTAGTTCCCCATACCATACAGTGGTTTCCGTCTCCTCTCTCTTCCTCTTGTCCTCTCTCCCTCTCCCCCCTTCCTCCTCTTGTCCTCTCTCCCTCTCCCCCTCTACCTCTATAGCCTGACTGATGCATGCAGCATTGCAATTGACCTTTGAGTCGACACAGAAGTCATCTCTCTCCCTCTCCCTTTCTATCGCATCATGCATGCCTCTTCTCGATCTCGCTCCTGCTCCCAATCCTCGTGCCAGTTCTTCGGAGTGCTGCCAAAGGTGGTGGAGAAGAGGACCCGCTCAGCGCTTCAGTGCTTTGCTTACAAACCCACTCATGCCCACCGTTCGTCCACCTTCCCCGACCCTCCTTTCCCATCCCTCATGCCAGTTCTTCGGGGTGCTGCCAAAGGTGGTGGAGAAGAAAGATCCATTCAGCGCATCAGTGCTATTCTTACAAACCCACACATGCCCACCGTCCGCCCACCATCCCCATTCCCTCACGCCAGTTCTTCGGGGTGCTGCCAAAGGTGGTGGAGAAGAGGGATCCGCTCAGCGAGTCAATACTGGGAGACAGAATCGGCGACATGACATGCACGTACGACCGCCAGGCCAACCGCTTCTACCTCTCCACTTACTGGATCGTGAGTGGCTGCTGGTGGTGGTGGTGGTGGTTCTGGTGGGCGATTTATCCCTCCCTCTTTCAGTTCCTCTATCCCTCAGCTTCTCTAGCCCTCCCTCTCGTTTTCCTCTCTCATTCTCTTCCATCTCACTGTCCTCCTTCTCTTGTCAATCACTCGCATCGCCCTCCCTCCCTCCCATTCCCATCGCTCCCCACGTGCAGTCCGGGGGTGCCAACAACACGTATGACAAGTTTGGGCAGACGAGGAGGCGAGCCAATGTGACAGTGGGAGGAGGGCTGATAGTGGCAGCGTCAACCACGGACGACCCCACGCAGCCCTGGAATGTCTTCTTCATTCCCGCCTCGTACGCTCGCCTCCTTTTTTTCACGCTTTCTCACCCTTTTCCCTCACATATTCTCACCTTTTCCCTCACCTTTTCTCACCGCCTTGCGCGGTATCCTTTTGTCTCGCCGTTTCTCATCGTTTCTCAGCCTTTTCTCGCACTTTTTCGCTTCTCTTCTCTTCACCGTTGATCGCTTTCATGCGTTGCTCTCTTTCCTTCTCCCCTTCCTGCAGCAGCAGCCCTATTTTCAGACTGGTTAAAATCCCAGCTCTTTCCTTCTCTCATTTCTCCTCAACTTCCACCTTCTCCTTCCCACTGTTTCTCCTCCCTCACCTCAACCCTCCCCACTCCCAGCAACGATGGCATCAACTCCAATCCGGATTGGAGGGCGCCTCTCCACTTCAACACTTCTCGAAATCCTATTTTTTGTATGTTTAATGATGGTGTGTATGATGGTGTGTATGATGGTGTGTATGATGGTGTGAATGATGGTGTGAATGATGGTGTGAATGATGGTGTGAATGATGGTGTGAATGATGGTGTGAATGATGGTGTGAATGATGGTGTGAATGATGGTGTGAATGATGGTGTGAATGATGGTGTGAATGATGGTGTGAATGATGGTGTGAATGATGGTGTGAATGATGGTGTGAATGATGGTGTGTATGATGGTGTGTATGATGGTGTGAGCGATGGTACGGGCGAGGTTTTGGGTTTAGGTCGTTTCCTGGGCTGTCCCTCCCTCCTGAGAAAACCTGGTGTCTCTTCCTACCACTTTCACTTTGCGTGCTTCTGTTGTTGCCTACTTGTGATCTCACTTATAAGTTAAAACATGCACCTTCTCCCCTCTTGCCCTACTCTCCCCCGTTCCCTCCGCCCCCCCTCCTTCGTCCCTCCCCCCCCCCCCCCCCCCCCCCCCCCCCCCCCCCCCCCCCCTCCTCCCCTCAGGCGACTACCCCCAAATCGGCACCGATGCTTATGGTATGTGTGATAGAGATAGGCCTCAATCCCATGTTTGTAATATAGTTTTCAGACCTTAGTCTGGTATGTGTGATTACCATGCACTCACATTTTTTTATTTCCATTTGACTAATTAAATCATTCTGAATTTCCTACACAGTTCCATCGCTGTTAATTGACCTACACATGCAATCATCGATATTGGATCCCCCATTAAAGCTGCCTTCACACTCTTCCGTACAGCCCATTAATATCTCACACGTAACTTCCCCCCTTTGCAAGGTTCAAAATTACGGTTTTCGTAAAATACGGTCCGTTTTTTACGGTGTTTAAAAAAAAAACGGCCGTTTTTTTGTTAGAGATTTCTGTTCACCAAGAAAAAAAAGAGAAGAAAAACATTTTCAATCATGCCAACAAGCGCATACATGCAAGAAGGGGTCCGTCCCCTTCATGCTGCTGCATTTCGGGTTCAATTTGGTCCCACTAAGTGGCCGTTTTGTTAGTTAAACAGGAAACACCTCCTGGAACCGTTTTAAACCGTTTTTTACGACCGTTTTTTACGATACCGTTTTTTACGGTAAATTTTAAAAAAAACGGTCGTTTTTTTTAACCCTGCCCCTTTGCCTCAACCCCGTTCCCCCCTTCGCCTCAACCCCGTTCCCCCTTGCCAGGATTTTATGTTTCGGCAATCCATTTCGAGAAGGCTACAGATTTATCCTTTGGGGTTAGCATATAGTGAGTGTAGTGCCTCCCAACCAGGTACTCATGCATTGTCGGGTTTTGAGTCTTTGAGGCGACTCAAAGCTCATGGAATGTCTCTTCCCTTGCAACAACCAACCAGGTATCCGTGCAATGTCTCTTCCCTTCTAATCCTTACACTCTCAACGCTCCCATCCAGTTGTTTTTAAGTATTCTCGAACCAACCAGGCTTGTGCAGGCATCCCCTTCCACATGTGTAAACTCTAGTGGCACCCTCTCCCATCCCATCAGTTCACCCACTCACACCCCCATCACCTTCTTCCCAATCCTCTTCTTCCGTTTCTCCCCACTCATCTCCCTCTTCCTTCGCCTCCCCCTCCTGCACCTTCCCTCCCACCTACCACCTCCCCAACCAGTGCTATCGCAAAGTCGCAGCTCCAAACACCCGAGAATGCCACCATTCTCCGCCTGGCCATCCCATGGAATTCCGTGTTTAAGGCTGAAGGCTCCATCTACCCTCAGAAGGTCGCAGCCGATGGGGACTACGACTACAGCCACGGAGGCACCATGTATTTCGGCTGGGCCGGCATGGCCCCCACCCCCGGCGCCCCCAACGAAACCGTGCTTGTCGCTAATTACACCACCGTGGGAGCCTTTGCTATAACGGGTACAAGTGCTCTGGGGACACCGGAAGCGGAGAGTCTGGTGGAGCCGCACTGTGCTGCTGTCAACACTCCCCCGTACTTTGTGCCCATGTCTGTGGAGCAAAAGAAAGGGCCCGTTCCTACAGCTTGGGCCATGAACAGCACGATCGCACCCATCGGCCCTTCATTGGTCGATGCGCGAGGCGTGGTGGTGAATCCGGGGAGCAGGCGCATGTGGGTCAGCTTTATGTCGGCGTTCGGAAAGGACATGAGTGCTGCTGCCGTGGTGGTGAGGCTTCGCTTGTCTTTGAGGCCCAACCGCAAGTGGCGCACGCTCCGGGTGTTTTTGGAGCGGTTCAAAGTGGTGGGGGTGGGCGGAGGGAACAGCCTCATTCAGGGCACCATCGCTCTCAACAGGTGGGAGAGAGGGGGGAGGGGGTGGAGGGGCAACTGGGGAGAGGGGAGGGGGGGATGGAGGTGCAAAGGGGGAAAGAGGGATGTAATGGCACCAGGAGAGAGGAGAATGTTACTTTGTTGGATTATTCTTCACAGCTTTATTGATCTTATCTTCTTTTCCCCTATACACTCACTCTCCCACCGTCCCCTCACGCCCCTCCCCAGGCACGGCAAGGGCATCATAGCAGCGTCACTAGCTGGGCGTTCCTTCTACCCCTCAGCTGCCTATGCCACTCTCAACGCCAATGTGGATGTTGGCCGCATCAACGTTGTCGCCCCGGGGAAGGCACCTCTTGATGACTACTCCGGTGAGCCTGATGATGCCTGCCTGGTTCGTTGCTTGCTTAGCAGCACCTGACGACTACTCTGGTGAGTGCACTGATTCTCGAAACTGGTTCTTGAGACGAATCAAAAGAGCGGCCATTGCCGTCCCTCGCTCCTCCAAGCACATTACGACTACACGACGGCACCTCTTGAGTCGACCCAAGCCATCCGCGCCCCTCATTCCTCCCACACACACACCCCGCCACACCTCTCCCTCACTCCTTCCCAGGTTACCTCGGTGCACCAGAGATGAGATACGGCGACTACATGACAGCGACGGTGGACGAGGAGGGCAACGCGTGGGCGGCAGTGCAGTATGTGGCGGGGCAGCCGCGCACCGAGTGGAGCAACTGGGCTACCTTCGTCTTCAAAGTCGACCTGCAGGGGGGGGCGGACGGGGGGAACGGGGGGGATGGGGAGAATGGGGACAGTGAGGGGAATGGTGATCAGGAGGGGAAGTAGAACGGTGTGAAGGGGGAGAGCGAGGGGTAGTGGGGGAATGGGCGAGAATGGGTGGGTGGGTGGTAGGGGGGTGGAATGGGGATAGTGGAGAGGATGGGGATGACGAGGGTGAAGTTGGAACGGGGGAAAGGACACCAGCAGCAGTGATGGGCATAGCAGCAGCAGCAGCAGCATCATCAGCAGTGGCAGTGGTAGTGGCCGTGGCAGTGTTAATGGCGGCAGCCGAGCAGCGGTGTAAGTTACGAGAGTGAGAATGGGCATGCATCGTGCTAATGTGTTGCTACCTCAGCAGCACAGTTCTCTTGAACTCCCGCATAGCATCACATCACATGCCATGTTATTGTACGTGCTACTTGATCTATGCGTAAGTGTTTACCGTTAAATAATTGGAGCTGCTGCTCGTAATCATGCAATCTCCATATTTATGTAAGGAGGGGAGAAATTCTATCTTGGTCTAGTCATAGAGTTGCTTGAATCGTTGCCAGTTTAATCACTCACCCAACACACGAAATCATGAAATTTCACTGATAGTTCACTTTCTAGCGATTACGTGGTATCGAGTCCCTTCTAGACGGCCTTTATTTGTTCCTTTGGTGATACGCTATTCAGTCACACAATTTCTGCCTCCATCCATCACCGAATCGCCTCTCGATTCCCATTGTCGAGCCGCACGGCGGCGGAAAACATCCACCATGACATCCGAAATTGGGAAGCACTCACTACAGTAGCAACAACGGGAAAACGGTACACAAAATTCACCAACTTGCAGGAAAAGGGAACCCGAAACCGCAAAACATTGATCTGGTGGGGTATTTCAACCACCCTGATATTTTCGTTAGGTGCAAACGTTTAGCCGGGTGGGATCAATGTCAACGATGCCCTCCAAACAGCCCCTCACCCAGCAATGTCAACATCCAGTCTCCTGTGGTGTGCACCCTCACCCACCCACCCGCGTCAATGCAGAATGCTCCTCGTTTACTGTACCACCCACCACACAAAGCCATTTGTTGTTTACAATTCCTAAGTCACGTTCACTCTCTCTTGAGGCATGATGACCCCTCCACAACCCTCCCTGCGCCTCTGCTACCACGCCGCACTGCTGCTCGCGCTTCTACTGCCACTGCTAGCTCCGCTGCGGGGAGCGAATGCGGCGTCGCGCATCGTGACTGCGCCGATGCGCGGATCGAACGACCGCGTGGAGGTGTTCAAGCTGGCGGAGAACCTCTGGTTCGCCGGAACCGCGCAGCTTCCGCCATTTAAAAACGATGGCGACAGTGGAACCTCCAATGACGGAGATAACAGCGGGAACTACGGTGACAGCACCGGAGATGACTCTTCGGGAGATGTAAACGCCGAAATCGATAACAGCGGAGGTTCGAGCGCGGGGATTACGGATGGCCCGCCCGCTCCTCCCGAGGCGCAGGCATAGCGCGCAAGACACGCCCTCAAAATACGGCTCTACGACCGTTGACCCTCGTTTGGCCTCGCGCACCCTTCGTCTGGGCTTCCTACGTCAGACATTGATTCGTTTTTCTGGTGACTGCTGAGCACTACTAACCCTCCCAAGACTGTCAATCACTAGTACTAGTTGCGTGGCGGAAAGCTGATGTGTTGCGCAGTTCTCCTTTAAGCCACATGCCTTCAGCAATGGGCGAAGCTCTTAAGGTTTTCTCTCTTCCCGCGTTCCCCAAAACAGGAGCAGCGATTGGCGGAGGTTGGGGAATTCGCGGCGCGCACGACGGAGCTGAAACCATCGCAACTTTGCTGGTGTTGGCTGGGAAACAGCCAGTGATATTGTGTCCCTGCAGTTTGCGTGCGGTGTTTTTTTCAAATTGCCATCTGTTTCCGAGCTGCCAATGATCACCCGCAGTTACCCTAATTTCGGTTCGTGTTGTCACGGAGCAGTTTGCGGGCAATCAGCACAAAATTCAATTCGTTGGAGCGATGGACACCGCGCGGTGAAATACGGTGCTGTGGTTTAGAAAACTCTGGACGAAACTAATATTTTGGAAATTTACAGTATAATTTTTGCTTTCTATTACATTACTGCATCCTTAGTGTAGGTCTCCAATTGTGTTTTTCTCCCACAATATGATTATGTGTTTGGAGTGAGTACGAAAGAGGGTCCCTTTTCTATAACCTATTTTGATTAATATATATGGAGAAGTTAGCAATTGCATTCGTATTTATACTTGAACTGTTTTTTTAAGCTTGTTACCACATGACTGCAATTTCATGTTGACATTGAAACAGGATAAAATAAAACGGGAAAAGAATGTTGGGCTGAGAAAAGCCCTTAGGATCTTTGCAGGGATGAACCTTGAGTGGGACTGATGTAATAGCGGAAGCGTTTAATGAAGTATTGTGAACCACCTTGCGCTAGTATGTGAGGGCAAAGTAGATTGATTAAGACAAAGAGATACAAGATTATATAAGAGTACAAGGAATATGAAGGGATACGGTTATAACTGTTTTACTGTTGCTGTTGCGGTTCGATACAGTGACGACTCGGGCAACTGCTCTGTAGCGAGTCAGTTGTGTGTCCTTGCTGTCGCGCTGTATTTGTCAGGTCAAAGGTCGCTGACCTTTGACTTTCGCGTAACCTCCAGCGGTTACTTCAACCTCCGAGGGTTGACTCGCTGGTGCCTCGATATGCTTTGCTTCGCTTGTGTCTTGGTGTTTCGACACGACAGAGGCGCTTAAGACTGATTGTTTCCAACAAAGAAGTGGTTACCAGAATGTTTACCGTTAGCGACTGATGCTAACGGCCAATTTCGCGAATCCGTTCGGACGGCTAATTTTCAGCGCGCGAAAGTTCATGCTGGACCTAAATTTCGACGGAGTCGCACACCCTGTTACGTGCGACATCCGCACGTAACATTTGGCAGTGTCGCCGTGGCAGTTAGGGGTGACGGAATTATGATGCGGTTCAGACTGTTTTTGCGCAGTTGTAAGCGGTGAACGCACCATGTAGCCGTTCCTCTCCAACCCCTCCATTCCCCCCTCACATTCGAAGTGCTTGTTCTTCTCGTAGAGCAGGCATTAGTTGCCCGCCATGGCGTCGCCCTTTAACCCGCCATCCCGCTGGAACCGCCCGTTTTTAGTCGACTTCGGCTGTTTATTTTTTATGTAAACGACGCCTCGCGATGCATGCTTTGCCGCGCCTCGCATGTAAGAAGGGTGCTTGTCCAGCTTAGGGTTAGATCTTTGGGCGCGACTAGAACGTCTTTTTAAGATTTATTTTAGTTTTAGGTTCGTCAAAGCAGAAACTCGACTTCTACGATACACCAGCGCATGCGCGGCGTGCCGACGCCGTGTATAGAGCGCGAGAATCCCGCGGCTTGAGGGACCAATGGGATAGGTAAATGGTTTCTTTTCTTTAACGTTTTTCGGTTTCCAGTCTTGATTGGCTGGCCCTAGCCGTTTAACATTTCTGGTCTCTGTGTGCAGGTCCAGGATACGACTGTCAAGACCCTGCATATAAATTAGTGTTGTGTTTTTGTATGTGACCATAAGTAGGATCTCTATATTTCTCTCCCAATAGTTGCACCACAGGGTGCTGAACATCCGTGTATGCACAACCTTTATCATGGATTTTATATGTGGCTGTGGATTCGTCTGCAACACTGGACAGGGAATGATCAATCACAAACAGTCATGCAGAAAGCGTTTACCTTCGTCAGAGAGTGCGAACCTATGGATACTAGAGGCATTGAAGTGTCAACGTGCGAATGACGTGAACCGGCTGCTGCGTGCACGAGTAGCTCAACGTGCAGCAACAGGTCCGCCTTTGACCGCTAGTGGAGCACCTTCAGCACAAACCGATGTTAACCCGCCCCCGTTTGAGTTCCCGGCGTCGGTCGATAGCGATGGTGACGACGACGACATAGAGTTCGCGGATAGTGGGACAGACCCCGCTCGACATAAACTCCCATTCGACACAGATCTGGCTTTGGCGAAGGCGATTCGGGGTTTCAATGGAGGCATGGGGATGTGGGCGACTGATATTAACGCCTTACTGAGTGTGTTGCACGAGGTCGGTTACATGAAGCCAACATACAAGAACAGTGCAGGCTTGGCGAAGTACGAGAAGTCGTTACTGACGGAGGCTACAGGCACGGTGGAATGGAGAGCGGTGGAGGTGGAGTTGAGCAACGGCATGAAAGTGACAGTGCACGTAACCTCCATTGTCGAGGCTTTGGTGGCGATGTATTCGGATGGCGCGAACGCGGACGGCTTTGTGGTCAAACCGGCAGCGGTCTACACGTCCGACAAGAAACAACGGATATACGCGGGGCCCGAGACGGGAGATGGATGGATTAAGTTGCAAGAAGAATGTCCGAGAGGTGGCGTAATCGCAGCGTGCATTCTGTACAGCGACGGGACAAACTTGAGCAACGACGGGCGTGTTACGGGACATCCAGTGTATTTCACCCTCGGAAACGTCACGCTCAAGAATCGTTGGCAACCACACGGGCATCGGATGGCTGCTATGCTCCCGCCACTTCCAAACGTGGACTCGCGGACGGACGAGGGGAAGGCACTTCACCGGGAGGTATTTCAACTGGCTATGGAAGTGGTTCTTGAAGAACTCAAGAAAGCATCTTACGAGTGAGTGTTTCTTGAGTGTGCGGGTGAGTGCTTTTCATGTTGTTGGGTGTGGGCGTTTGTGCTCCAAATGTTTTTTTCTTAACGCAACCACGAGATCTTGCATGCTCTCCTCATGTACACATGCGCATCCCCTACCCCTATGATCGAATGTCTCCCATGTTATTCATTCCCTTTTCTCTGTCCAGTGGCATTGTAACGGAAGACCCTTTCGGGAGGACGCAAGTGGTGTTTCCCGCAGTCTACGCATATGTGGCCGATCACCCGGAAGCGTGCAAGCTGGCGGGGACGTTTGCAAGTCACAAAGCGCAGTTCCCGTGCCACAGGCGTCTCGTAACGCGTGACAACATTAGCAACATGGAGGCGGTGGTGGAATATCGCACGGAGGGTGA